AAGCAGCTTTATTTGGTTGGCCAAGCAAAGGAGCACACTGGGACCTGCACCGCCAAGATGGCGCCCAAGGGGTTTATATGGATGAAGTAAATTGGGTCTGGGGTCTTCAGGAATGCCTCAAGGTGGAGCCAGCTTGCTGATTGGTCTGGCCCGAAAAGGTGTTCCTGGGGCAGTCTGGCCTTTCTGCGCCTCCTCAGTCTAAAAAGTGGGGGAGCCTCTCAAACCAGATCTCAGGCTGGGACCCCTCGCTTCTGAAAGCCTTCCCCCAATCCTGGGCCGCTAAAGTTTGGTACCGTCCAGTGGGAGAAGAGTTCCGGGGTCACCCAGAGGACAGGGTCGATGGTTCTGTGCATGTCAGGCGGGCCAGATCTAGTTCTTGCCAGTTTCAGCTGGTCCTGCGACCCCAGTCTTGTTTTCCTCAACTTGGCCAGAAACAGGAAGCACACCTAAATAAGGAGGTAGCTTAAAGACAGGGAATTAGTTCCTATATCATAGAAGATGGCAGGCAGAGCCCTTTGCCTACTCAAGACGGCGGGCGGACTGCCCGTGTCATATAGGCCTATCTAATCTTTGGCTGAAAGGTGGACTTTGGAGTGGCTTCAGTTCTGAGTCAGCAGAGTGTCTGGGGGCCATAGTCTCGGGAGTTCCTCCAGTCTCTGTCAGACCAGGAAGTCTGGTCTTTTTTTGTGAATTCAACTTGCTGAATTTTTTGCTGAGGATTTTTGCATCTGTGTTCATGAGGGATATTGGTCTGTATTTTTCTTGTATGTCAGGTTTTGGCATCAGGATAATGGTGTCCTCATAAATGGTTCTCTCATTCTCTATTTTCTGGAAGACGTTGTGTTGGCTTGGTCTTATTCTTCTTCAACTGTTTGACAGAATTCACCAGTGAAGTCACCTGGGCCCAGAGTTTTCTTTGTGTGAAGGCATTTTATTTTTGGTTTATTTAAATCTTTAACAGTTCTATGAAGGTATAATTATCTACCATAACATTTACCAATTCCAAGTGCACACTAGAACAGGATTACCATGTGGAAAGTAACTCACGATCTCATTTTTTCCACCCAGCTCAGAGATGATTTTTGTGGGTTTCCTTTTTGCTAACAAACTGCATGCTGGACACACGAGGGTCCAACCTGCACCCAGTTACTGTCCTTGTGAGTCCAGTGTATCATGACCTTCTGAAGAGCTCTCAAGGACTGACTTTCAGTTCCTTTGTCTTGTTTGTGGTTCTTCATTTCCCGCTCACCCCTCAGCTGGATGCTTGATGGCTTCTGCTCTTACCGCTCCACCGGCTGCTCTCATGCTCATCACCAAGAACACCAAGCCTTTCTTCTTGCTCAGTGGACATGCTGCAGACCTGGTCTGACTTGACCTCCCCAAGTATTTGACAGTTGATGACTCTCTCCTTGAAAGACTCTCTTCTATGGCTGGGCTGGCCAGGTTCCCAGCCGAAAAGAGACGGCACCTCCAATTAGGACAATCTGCTGTTGTTGCTGTTAGTTGCTGTCGAGTCGGCCCCTGACTCATGGCAGCCTACACACAATGGAATGAAACAGTCCTTGGCCCTGCACCACCCTCATGGCCAGCTGTACATCAGAGTGTTGTGCTCCATAGGGTTTTCATTGGCTGATTTTTGGAAGTTGATTGCCTGGCCTTTCCTCCTAGTCCATCATAGTCTGGAAGCTCCGCTGAGAACATGTTCAGCATCATAGTAACACGCAAGCCTCCACTGACAGATGGGTGGTGGCTCCGCACGAGGCCGGGAACCAAACTTGGGTATCCTGCACGGGAGGTAAGAATTCCATCACGAAACCACCACTGCCGCTAGGATCATCTAAGGAGGGTTTCATAAAGGGACTGTTTAGAGAGGTGTGAGCAGGGGTAGTGTGGTACTCTGGGGAGCTAGCACCATCCTGGGTCAGAAGAAACAAGGGGAGGGAACAGGTAGTGGAGCCCCAACAGAGAGAGTGGAACAGAGGGAGCTGCACTGAGAATGCCATGAGGGACTCTGCAGGAGGGAACTGGGGACCCCAACCTCACCCCCCTCCCTCCTTCCAGCCACCAGTGGGGACTGCCCTGTGGTCAACCCCACAGAACCTCCTAGGGTCAGCCTCCAGGGACACAGGGCAGGGCGGGGAAGGAAGAATAGGGCTGAAGGGACAGAAGGAAGCTACCCTTGGCTTTAGGCTACCATGCTGGTCTGTTTCCCTCCCTGTCTGAAGGCACTGTGATGGTTAAGGTTGTGTGCCGACGTGGCTGGGCCATGATTCTCAGTGGTTGGCAGCTACGGTGTAGTTTGGCAGTCATGTAATGATGTTAATCACCTCCATGACGAGATTTGATATAATGTGATCACCTCCATGATGGGATCTGCTGTGAGTGGCAATCAGTTGAAAGGGAGCTTCCTTGGCGGTGTGGCCTGCATCCAATATAGGTGGACTTTCTGGCAAGGCTCACGGGCTTTTGCTTGCTCTGGATCCTGCATCTGGCTCCTGTGACTTGAGCTAGCAGCTTACCTGCTGATCTTGGGATTCACTGATCTCCACAGCCTGTCAGAGCCCTGCTGTCTGACCTGCTGATCTTGGTTTCACCAGCCCCTGCGGCTAGGTGAGTTGGGAGAAGCCTCCAGCCTGACCCAGGGACTTGGGACATTCCAACCTCTACAACCGTGTGAGCCATCTCCTTGATATAAATCTCTCTGTATCTATATTTATATGCTTTACTGGCTTTGCTTCTCTAGAGAACCCAGCCTAAGACAGGAGCTTTCGCCACCTCCAACGTGGGTAACTGAGTGCTATGTGTCAGGTCACTTTCTAAGGCTTTTATATGTATTAAGCCGTTTAACAGTCACAACAGCCCTGTGAATTAGCTACCATTTTCCTGTTACGGATGAGGCCATGAAGCAGCGAGGTTAGGTAACTGGTCTGGGGCCACACAGCTAGGAAGGTGCAGAGCCGGGCTGGAGCTCCGCAGTGACTCCAGGGCCACATTCTTAACCACCGTACTGTTTCTCTTGGACCATCTTGGGCTAATGCTTCAGAGCCCGGGAGGAGTTGGACTGGGTGACACGACCTCCAGAAAGGATCCCCTGACCTGTGGTGTGCTGACGTGCCCATTCCAACACTCACACGGCATACCCAACGTCCTGTGTCAAGAACTCTCTTGCGGGTGTTTGCCTGGGCTCCCCGGAAGAAAGCACGCTCCACGAACGCTGGGGTGTGCAGCCACATAGCTGGCATCTCTCCGTCCCTCCGGGGCAGTGTGCTTCAAGAACCACAGAGACAGGAGAGTTCACAGTCCCCTCTGACACTTTATTGTTCATAAAACAAATGGATCCAGGAGGCAAGGGGGCACAATCAGGTGCTTACAGTAGCGAATATAAAAAAAAAAAAAAAAACCAAACCCATAGCCGCTGAGTTGACTCCAACTCATAGCGAATAAACAGGGAAGGAAAAAGAAAGAGGCTGGTGGTAAGACTGAAATATCTCAGATAAAAGTATCTGAAAACACCGTGTGAAATGCTGCTTCCAGACACCCAAGGTGCGGCTCAGGCACTGACACGGACACTCTAGGATCATCTCTTTTATCGACTGGACCAAGTCCTCCAAGCTTCCTAGCTCCGTCTCTCTCCAGGTTTAAATACCACAGCCCCACCGTCACCCACTTTATCCAGGAGCTGGGTCGGAGAGCCCAGCCAGGGGAAGTGAGAAAAGCTGGGCTCGCGCAGGCAACGCTCAGTAGAGTGGGTTCTAGATGGAGGAGCCACCTCGGCAGCTTATCTCCCTTCTACTCTCTGTGGAGGAGACAGACACCAGTCAAGAAAGGGGGGCCTTACTAGGTGCCCTCCATGAGGCCGTGCTCAAGTTTCCAAGCAGGTCAGCACAGTAATGTCAGAGGGCAGAAGAAGGTCCCTTGCCTGCCCAGCCGCGTGGCTTCGTGTGACCATGAGAGAATCACATAGAATGAGGTAGCTTCTTTGGGGAAGACACTGTGGGCTGCTGATAACGTCCCTTCTCAGCTTTGGTCGAGGCTGACCTCTGCCCCAAGCCCTCCCTGCCTCTACCCTGGGGGGTCAAAACAACAGGACCAATGACAATGGGAACCAATGACAATGGGGGCCAATGACAATGGGGGCCAATGGCAACACAGACCAATGTCAACCAGAATCAATGACAATGGGCATCAATAACAACGGGGACCACTGGCTGGGGACCAATGACAACAGGGACCACTGATGAGCCCACCTGTGTGCGAAGTTTCCATGGGGTACGGGCTGCAGAATGCCCACTGGACAGGGGAGAAATGAGGGCCAGGGGAGGAAACCCCACCGGTGTGGCCTCATTCACAAACACTCACCTCCAGGATAAAGCAACCCCGGGTCCAGGGTCAAACATGGGTGGCCAGAACCTGGGGGCCACTTTTCTTCAGGAAATGAAAAGTTCAAGTCACTCATGAGTCTTTAAAGGCATGAACCATTTCTGATAGCTGCTAGAAAAAGGCAGCGTCTCCTTATCTTTGTGTCTGCCAGCCGAGGACCGACTGCACCCGCTCTGTGGCATCTCCTGGGCTACTGGAACAGCCTCCTTCACTACAGGACTTTGCTCCGGGCGATAAGAGGGGGCGACTCCATTACATAGGGAAGAAAACCACTGTCATGAAACCTCAAAGCACTACACAACTGAAGAACTTTCCTGAAGGGAGAAAACGGCATCGCTGGCCACGTGATGGAGGGCGCTTCATGGCAGGTCTGGGAGCTAAGGGGGGAGCTGGACCCTTTCCTGCAGCTTCCTGCCCGTGTCCCAGAGCCTGCCTTCCCAGGCAGCCCTGCGATGTCCTGCGATGTAAACATTTTTGTTCCCAAGGACTGAGAGGGGGTGTACAACGCCCGGGGTTCATGAGGACGGAGGACAAGGGGGTAGCCTGGGAGTTCCCGCGGGGCAGGTCTGTTTCAAACCCGGGGCTGTGTTCCCAGGGCGGGCACAGTGCTTGACACCTAGTTGGTGCTCAATAAATATTTATTGAACAGAAGAATGAATGGAAGGAGGGAAAGGAAGCTCAGAGGAAAGAAAGGGCATGGCAGAATTGAAAACACAGGCTCCCAGTTAAGATGCAGTGATCAATTGTTACCACCAGATGGCAGCGCAGAGGAGCAGTCTGGCCATGGCAGCCACGGGGAGCCACAGTCCCTTCTCCCAGCTTCTTGGTGTCATATCCCTGTGGCTTGATGCGCCCTGAAACTGAACCCCCTTCTCAGGAAATCTCTAAAACTGGCACAGAACTACTACTTCCAAAAAGGAAAAAAAAAAAAAGAAGCCCACATAAAAATGCAGTCCTCTGGTTCTTAGAAAATGTAGTCCTGAAGGAGCTTGAAACAAACCTCGCACCCCGTGGCTCTGCTCAACGTCTTCCTGCCTTTTGGTACATTTCAGATAAACTCTATTCCTTCGTACTTCACGCTCCCGATCCAGGTCTCTGGCAGGAGGAAGCGGCCGTCGAGCGTGAAGGCCATGATGTAGGTGGCAATCTTACCTCTGTCCTCCTCGGACTTGAGGGCCACGATGATCTGATCATCGGTATTGGGCACGAACTTGAAGGAGGAGAAGCCGTGCGTGGGGACCAGCTCCCCGACGCGGCGCACAGAGACATCGCTGAAGTCCTGGGAGGCGCTCAGCAGCAGGTTGGCGCCCCTGTGCTCGTCGTCCTTCTCGCTGTAGCGCTGGCGGCTGGCCCGGCGCGGCAGGAAGAACCATCGCTGCAGCACCTCACTCCAGCAGGCGGACTCGTGGATGAGGTAGCCTGGGGGCACACGACACACGCAGGTCAGCGCGCGGCTGGGCAGAGTCCACCCGGCACCCCCGGCCTCTCCCGCGTGCTGTATGCACGGCCCTGGCCGCACAAGGAGGGCAGCGAAGGGGACCCGGCAGCCTCCAGCTCTCGCTCGTGACGCTGCACCCCACTCGAGCTCCCCCTTGACCCCTTTCTTTACACCCGCTATCAAGTCGACTCCGACTCATAGCGACCCTACAGGACAGAGCAGAACTGCCCCATCGGGTTTCCAAGGCTGTAATCTTTATGGGAGCAGACTGCCCCATCTTTCTCCTGCGGAGTGGCTGGTGGGTTCAAATGGCCGACCTTCCGGTTAGCAGGTGAGCACGTAGCCACTGCGCCACCAGGGCTCCTTCATCCTTTCTTCGTTGTTGTTGCTGTCGAGTCAGTTCCAACTCACAGCGACCCTGCGCACAACAGAACGGAACAGCGCCCGGTCTGCGCCATCCTCACAATCACTGCTACGTTGGAGCCCGTTGCTGCAGCCACTGTGTCAATCCACCTCGCTGAGGGTCTTCCTCTCTTTCGCTGACCCTTTACTTTACCAAGCATGATGCTGATCTCCAGGACTGGTCCCTCCTGATAACATGTTCAAACCTCCCCGTATCCTACAGGACGTTTCAATCTGTGTGTGTCCTCAATTACCCAGAGCAACAAAGCCTGGGCTGTCACAGAGATGGGGCACCTGGGGGTCTCTGGCGTGTCCACCACCCCCACCGCCGTCTCCCCAGAGCTGCCCACAAGCCGCAGCAGGAGTTCTGTATTTGTTTCCTTCGTGCTAATCAAGGGGCCCCCAAGAGGAGACAGACTCAGGGAAAGGGGCAAATCTAAAAGAGGTTTGATTCAGGGAGACCAGACCAGGGGAAGCGGGGGGACGCTGCCCTGAGGCTGGAAAGAAGTGTTCTGTTCACATCCAGGACGGAAGGTGAACAACATCTGGGGACCAAGTGACATGCTCGGGTCACTTCATCCTGAGCCGACAGCTGACCACGTCGACTCCAAGTCCCCCCACTGCAAACCACAGTGACTCTCAGGAAACCACATACTAGATGTGGCTGTCCAGGGCTCCGGCCACCAGGGAGAGCGGGGACATCGCAGAGCCAGGCCTGGCTGCAGTGTGGCAGGGCTGCGGGAAGGATCTGTCGGGGGGAGGGAGGCAGGGAAGGGCGAGGAAAGCAGCCAGCTGCCATCGAGTGGATTCCGACTCATGGCAACATCACGTGACTGAGCAGAATGGTCCTCCACGGGGTTTTCAGTGGCTGATTTTTTAGAAGTAGGTCACCAGACTTTTCTTCCAAGGACTTGAACCTCCAACCTTTCGGTTAGAAACTAAGTGCGTTAACCGTTTGTACCACCCAGCGACTCCCAAACCATCAGACACAGCTGAAATAATCAAACTCTAGCAAGAAATCCAGGGGCCCTGGTGCTGCAGTGGTTAAAGCACTCGGCTAACCGAAAAGTTGGTGGTTCGACCCCACCAGCTGCTCCTCAAGAGAAAAATGTGGCAGTCTGCTTCCATAAAGATTTACAGCCTTGGGCAACGTCATGGAAGCTCCACGGACACATCCTAACTCCCTGAAGGACTGAATTACTGGGCTGATGGCTGTGGGGACCATGGTCTTGGGGAACATGTAGCTCAACTGGCATAACATAGTTTATATAGAAAATGTTCTACATTCTACTTTGGTGAGTAGCGTCTGGGGTCTTAAAAACTTGTGAGCGGCCATCTAAGATACTCCACTGGCCTCACCCCATCGGGAGCAAGGGAGAATGAAGAAAACCAAAGACACAAGGGAAAGATTAGTCCAAAGGACTAATGGACCACAGCTACCACAGACTCCACCAGGCTGAGTCCAACATAACTAGATGATGCCTGGCTGCCACCACCAACTGCTCTGACAGGGATCACAATAGGTCCCAGACAGAGCTGGAGAAAAATGTAGAACAAAATTCTAACTCAGAGAAAAAAACACCAGACTTACTGGTCTGACAGAGACTGGAGAAACCCTAAGAGTATGGCCCCGGACACCTTTTTAGCTCAGTACTGAAGTCACTCCCAAGGTTCACCCTTCAGCCAAAGATTAGACAGGCCCATAAAACATAACAAGACTAATGGGGCACACCAGCCCAGGGGCGGGGACCAGAAGGCAGGAGGAGACAGGAAAGCTGGTAACAGGGAACCCAAAGTCGAGAAGGGGAGAGTGTTGACGTGTTGTGGGGTTGGCAACCAGTGGCACAAAACAATGTGTACTAATTGTTTAATGAGAAGCTAGTTTGTTCCGTAAACCTTCATCTAAAGTACAATTTAAAAAAAAAGATTTACAGCCTTGGAAATCCTACGGGGCAGTTCTACTCTGTCCTATCGGGTCGCTAGGAGTCAGCAAAACGTTTTTTCCTTTTAAGCAAGAAATCCAATTGTTGTGCTCTGGATGCAAATCCACTGAGAAACCACACTCAAACCGAACCGACCTCGTTGAGAGTCCTCTCGGCCCTGAGCGCGGCCGGGCTTCCTGCTGCCCTCCGGCTGACCCAGCGTCTCTTACCTGGCGGCTGGATGCCAGCGGCGGCCCTCAGGGCATTGTAGCTGGCCACCCAGTTCTCATGGTCCACGCTGCCCTTGCGGCCCACCACCTTCACCCACTCAGGGTTCTCGTTCAGCACCTCGCCTGTGGCGGTGGTCCACTCCTTGCCCAGGCCGCCCACGTACAGATGCTCGTCTTTCACGGCCAGCCACTCGGCTTTGAAGCCTACAGGCGACAAGGAGACAGGTGCCTGAGACCCCCGCCCAGAGGGGCTGCTCTGCTCCCGGCGCTGCGGGCTGGCGCTGGTCTGTTCACAGCACCGGAGGAAGCCCGGCGCCCTAGTCAGGTACTCGGACTTTACTCACGTAAACAAGAACGGGGGCAAACAGGAGGACCTGGCTCCGATCCCACATTTCTCACCGGATCACTGAACAAAACGTGCACACTGGACAGACCAGCGCCCACCCTGCCTCCCTTTAATTCTCCTTCTCTCCCTGGGAAGCCCGGCACAGGGGTTAAGAGCTATGACGGCTAACCACAAGGTCAGCAGTTCAAATCCACCAGGCACTCCCTAGAAACCCCATGAGGTAGTTCTACTCTGTCCTGTGGGGTCACTATGAGTCGGAATTGACTCGACCGCAACAGGGTTTTTTCTCTCCCTACTCTCCAGGAAAGGCTACATCTTCCCTTCCAAGAACTCTGTGGGGATGGCCTCTGACGATCAGGTCAGATTCTTTCTGCTGCTATTGCCTCACCTTCCCACCCTCCAAAGACCTCACCGACCTTTCTCGTGGATCTCTTCTGAACCCCAAGTTCTCGTGGATCTCCCCTTAACCTCCAATTCTCATGGATCTCCCCTGAACCCCAACTTCTCATGGATCTCCTCTGAACCCCAAGTTCTCGTGGATCTCCTCTGAACCCCAAGTTCTCATGGATCTCCCTGGAACACCAAGTTCTCGTGGATCTCCTGGAACCCCAAATTCTTGCGGATCTCTTCTGAGCTCCAAGTTCTCATGGATCTCCCTAGAACCACAAGTTCTCATGGATCTCCCCTGATCCCTAAATCCTGTTTCTCACACTGTCACCCTCACCCCAAGGTCATTCTCAATCCTAAAGAAGTTTACAGATCTGGCACTCTGATGCTTCCACGGCAGGACTGGTTTGCTGGCATCTCACTGGGAACAGGTGGATGCCAGCAGCCAGGGTGGGCTAAAAAGAGCTCCGTGCTAGGGACCATGGTCTTCTGTCAATCAGTGTGGTGAGTGGGAAGCTGACATCCCCCCTTAGGCTGGCTTCTTTAGTGTGAGCCTGACTTTTTAGGTTTCAACACAGTCTGCCCTTCCAGCGTCTCCTCACCTGCCCCTACAGCTGGGCTCTGAGTCGGGCTGCTTCTCCAGGTACTCTGAAGCTTCCTGGTGGCCCCAGCGATCACATCTGGCCCCTTAGCCACTTTCCAGGCGAGAGACCCTCCACTGCCCGGGTCTCCCGCCTCTTCTGGGCAGCCTGACCATGGGGCAACCCCAAAGGCCCCTTTATTCTGCTTTCTTCTCTCTCTGAGGGGAGGGATAGGACTGCCTAATGGCTGCCTAAAGCCCACAGATGAGGCAGGCGTTTCCACTAACACCTGAGCTGGGCGGTGTGCCCTGCCAGCTTCCCGGCCTTGGGAAAACACTGGGGAGGTCCTACCACTGGGGGCGAGCCACACCACCCTGCGGAGGCAAGGCAACTCGTCCTCTGACCTTGGAAGCCTGCGGTGGAGCTAGCTTCCAGGAGGTACCGATCCACAGCTGGGGTGCAGAAGCTTTCTATGGCCTTCTGCCAAGCCTCCAGCACCCCCCACTGCTGCCCCCGTCTGAAGGCTCCAGCCACTCTGGGTCCCCTCTAGTGGCTCTGTCCCCCGCTAGAAGTGGGAACCCCTTTCTGGCAAACAGCAGAGCCCATCGGCCACCGATGGGCTCAGAGGTTGGGTCCCCGTCCAGGGCAGGCACCGGTGTTCACAGACACGCCCTCTCTGCTAGCTTTTTTAGAGAAGTTCACCGTCTAAGAAGCGGAAGTCAAATCTCAGGTAAAAACAGGGAAAACCTGACACCACAGCTCTAAATGTCAGGCGCCTGGTGGCTCTAACTCCAGCGTGACTGAAGATATCTTTTAAGACACAGAAAAGGGACATGTGCCCAGACGCATGGAAGGCGGCACCAGATGCAGCCGTAAAACTTATCCTGGAAAGAATCCCCCAATCCTCTGGCAGCCCTCTCACAACCTAATACTTCTAGAAACTGCTTTGGTTCAGGCTTTTTGCTCCTGGCTCTGGGGAGGTCGGGGACTGTAGCAGGAGGCTGCTTTTCCTGGTGCGCCAGCTCTGCCCAGGTGGATGCGGTACTGCGTGCCTGTTACTTCTCGACTGCGATCACACTGCGGGCAGCATGCCCACCTCTGGCCCGGCCTTTCGTGAGCCTCAGGAGCAGAGGCGGCCGGCTCACCTTTGCCGACGGTCCCGTCACCGTCGGACAGGATCACCCAGGGCACGGCCTTGGAGCCCTCAATCTGGTAGACCACGCCCGTCCGGTCGTCCACAGAGTAGAGCTTCCCGTTGAAGACAATCAGCTCCGAGAGCTCCATGCCCCGCCCCTTCTCCGCCAGGTGGGACTCCAGGACCTCGTGGCCTGGGTCCCACTCCACAACCAGCCGGTCCCCGCTGTCTGACAGGGTCAGGTGGCCCTTTCTCAGGTAACTGAACCAGGTGTGTTCCTTCTGGGCCTTGGACTCTGTGTCCAGGTCAGCAATAACAGCGATGCGGTACCGGGTGCCACCGGGCGTCTTCTGGGGCGGGGAGAGGGGGTAGGTGTCATTGTAGCGGTCGGCCGACCCCGGGCCGAGTCTCCAGTTGTGGGCGTTGGGCGCGGGGGGCCTGAGGGAGGACGAGCGGGGGGCATAGAACATCCAGAGCGTGGCGGCGCCCACGAAGAAGAACACGATCACCTTCCAGCGCAGTCGGAAGCGGGGGTCTGCGGCCTTGGTCATGGACGCCAGCACGGGCAGGCCCCCCACACTTATCCGCAGGGCATGCATAGACTCATTCCATTCCAGGGGCTCCGAGGGTGGCGCGGGCATCAGCCTGGGAGTCGGGCAGGACCTGCGCACAGGAGAGAAGAGAGGTCAGCGGGCCGCTTCCCGGGTACGTGAAGATGTGCCTGTGAAAGCGAATTTTCCCGGAATGCACGGCGCTTCCAGCACTTTGTGCCGTTACTGCTCCCCTGGCTCAGTCACACCTGGGCTCCAGCTGGATCTCTGGCTGCTGTTACTCAGCAGGTTGTGTGCTCTCTTCCCTTCGTCCCAGCGGGCAAGGCAGAGTGCCGGGGAGAGAGGGTCTGGTGTAGCTCGCTAACGAGGCACAGAGAGGTGTCACAGTGGTGTGGGGGCCGGGGGATGGTGCAGGTGACAAGGATGGGCATGACAAGGAAACATCGGCTGCAGATCTGAGTGTTACCCCAAAGCCTCCCACCCCTCGGAATCTATCACCAGGGCCACCGTGTCACACGCTGTCAGTCTGCCCATCCCTCCCTGTGTCCACCTCAAGTCCCGGGCTCCAGGATGGCCCCAGCAGAGAGTGTGCCTCCACTTTCTCCTGGTGAGGTGGCTGTAATGGTCAAATGTGAGTGTGAAACGGACCTCCGTCGCCTGTCCCGTGTCCCACCTTCATCACCTACAGCCCATGGCCCTGGATCAGGCACAGGCCAAGGGGTGCCCACTGTCCCAGAGCTTCAGGACGCGGTGAGGAGTGCCTGGCAGCGGGGGGGCGGGGACCGTGACAAGCCCCCTCCCACGCATTGCCGTGGGCGCTCTTCTCATTCCTGGGAGTCACCGTTATCACCTAATCCCCTTCCCGGGCCTTCCGGCGACGGACGACCCTGTGCACCCGCAAAGACTGGAGTGGTCACTGGGGGAGCCCTTCTGTGCGCCAGGCTGTCCCTGCCCTTCTGGTCGGGGCGGGGACGGGGGAAGGGGCCTCACCCACTATTCACAGCGAGACTCCCAGCCCCCCAAGCAGAGTTGGCCCCCAGCACGAGCTCTCTGTCAGGTCGGCCCCAACACAGCAGACCTCAGCACAGGGTCGGCCCCAGCACAGCAGCCCCCAGGCCCTAGCACAGGGTCAGCCCCAGCACAGCAGCCCCCAGCACAGCATCGGCCCCAGCACAGCGTCGGCCCCAGCACAGCAGTCCCCAGCACAGCGTCAGCCCCAGAACAGCGTCGGCCCCAGCACAGCAGTCCCCAGCACAGCGTCAGCCCCAGAACAGCGTCGGCCCCAGCACAGCAGTCCCCAGCACAGCGTCAGCCCCAGAACAGCGTCGGCCCCAGCACAGCAACCCCCAGCACAGCAGTCCCCCAGCACGGGGTCCGCCCCAGCACAGCAGCCCCCAGCACAGCGTCGGCCCCAGCACAGCAGCCCCCAGCACAGCGTCGGCCCCAGCACAGCAGCCCCCAGCACAGCGTCGGCCCCAGCACAGCAGCCCCCAGCACAGCAGCCCCCAGCAGCACAGGGTCGGCCCCAGCACAGTAAGGCCGGAGCAGAGTTGGCCTCAGCATGGGCTCTGTCCCAGGTCGGCCCAGCACAGGGTCGGCCCCAGCATAGTAAGGCCCAAGCAGGACTTGGCCCTGAGTACGGGCTCCCTCTCAGGTGGGCCACATCCACTCTTCTGGCTCCTCTCTCACCTCTGCAGCTGGGACCCCCTGGAATCACTTAGCAGCCCCCCCCCCCACCTTGTCTATGTGCTCCGGGCCCTCGCAGGCTCTTGATGAACACTGTGGAAGGAGAGGGGAATCCACGAGTGAGCGAATGAACAGAGCACCTCGACTCCCTCGGCCCCCTGACCCCCTGCCCGTCACCCGCCCCTGCCAAGGCCCCCTGACCATCTGGAAAGAGCATGTACCTGCACGGCCCCTCTTCCTTCCTGCAGGTCCTCTGAGCCCCACTGCTCCGAGCATGGCCCCACTGCCCCTCGGTCCACAGGCCTGCCGTGACTGGCCGCACTGGCTCACTCCCTCCCCGGGACACGCTTCAGGACACTGTGCAAGGGACACGCTCCCCCAGGCCTCCCCCCTGTGTCTCCTCAGCCCCATGGCCGGCCCCTTCCGCTGCCTGCCTCCCCTTATTCCATACCTCTCACAGGGCTCAGCCTCCACCGTGAAGACTCCCAGTGCCTTCCTCACCCAGACCTTTGCCCGGATCCCAGGCCAGTGTGCCCAGCCTGCAGTACTCTCTGTCCTATGCCCCACAGGCACCCGGAATGCGGGGAACTCATTCTTCTCCCTCAACAGCTTCCTCCTCCAGAGTTTACTGCCCTGGCTGCGGACATGTCCACCCTCGGAGTCTTCCTGGTGAGCAGCTGCCCTTCCTCTCACATCCACGGAGGCACTGCTGCTGCTGCTGTAGCTGCTGTTGAGTCAGCCCCACTCATGGTGACCCCACGCACGACGGAATTAAACAATGCCCCTCCTGCGCCAGCCCCATGATCGGTTGTGGATCAGACTTCTATGATCCATAGGATTTTCACTGGCTGATTTTTGAAGTAGCTTGCCAGGCCTTTCTTCCTAGTCCATCTTAAACAGGTCCCCACTTGGCGGCAGCATGCACTAAAAGTGGGAAAGCAGCTTTGCAAGAAACCTAAGAGGCAGAAATGCAGGTGGGCTCTGTATGCCCCACAGGTCACAAAAGGGTTAGTCTGGCAGCTCCGCTGAAACCTGTTCAGCATCACAGCAACTCACAAGCCTCCAGGGACAGACAGCTAGTGGCTGCACGTGAGGTGTACCGGCTGGGAATCGAACCCAGGTCTGCCACGCGGAGGGCCAGAATTCTACCAGCGAACCAACACCGCTCCCTACCGCCAACAGGAGGCACTTACTGTTATCGGGGTTGGGTGCTGTCAGGCTGATTCCGACTCACAGCGACCTTACAGGACAGCAGAAATGCCCCACTGGGTGTCCTTGGCTGCAGTCTTTACAGAAGCAGATCGCCAGGTCTTTCTCCCACGGAGCCAATGGGTAGGTTCAAACTCCCCACCTTTCAGCTAGCAGCCGAGTACTTCACCATTGTGCCACCAGGGCACGAAGTCCCACCAAGTCATCCGCACCCCGCCCTGGACTCGGTTCCCTTCTCCCCACCCCCAGCCTGTGACTGCGGACAATGACGGTGCGGACCTCAGAGAGCTGTGCTGCCAACCACTTCCCTCAGCCTCAGTTTCTCCATCTGTAACTGCAGACAATGAGCGCTTAACCACTGTACCACCAGGGCTCCTTAAATCTGGATTAGAACTCTTTAACGGATCCAATGACTTCAGGCTGAAGGACACACTCCCCAATCTTCCACGTGCTCTACATCCACTCCACACTGGGTTACGTACAATTCTGTGTGCCAGGTGTCCACACCTTTGCACAGGCTGCACCCTCCACCTGGAAAGCTAATCTCCTCTGGCTGCACGGAACCATCTGGAATTCCCTCGATGTGCCATGACAGGCATGCTGTCCCTTCCTTGGCCCCCCAGAGGCCAGCTCCCTCCCCCGCTCCCCGAGTAGGTCTTCCCTGATGTGGTCCTAGTCCCTGGAGCCTCAAATGGCAGTGGAGACTCTGCAGCTGTGATTAAGCTAAGGCTCGTGAGATCGAAATTCTCCTGGATTATCCGGCTGGGCCCTAAATGCAATCACAAACGTCCTTATAAGAGGGAGGAGGTGGCAGTGTAACCACGGAGGCAGAGACTTGAGTGATGCAGCCACAAGCCAGGGAACGCTGATGGCCAGCAGAAGCTGGAAGAGGCCAGGAATGGATTCTCCCCAGCCTCTGGAGGGAATGTGGCCCTACTGACACCCAGCTCCATGTACCGCTTTCAGACTTCTGGCCTCCAGAGCTGTGAGAATAAACGTGTGTTGTTTAGCCCACCACGTTTATAGTAGGTAATTTGATACAGCAGCCACAGAAAGCTAATGTGCCTCCTGCCACCTCTGAGGACAGCCTCCATCCCTCTGTGTCCCTGTCCGAGACGCTCCTCTGCGGAAGCACAGACCACACCATTGCGGTGGTCTCCTCACACGTTCGGTCTCCCCTCACTCCAAGCTCCGACGGGGGGGCTCTGGTTAATCTTGTCTGACTCCCTGAGAGCTAGCGGAGGAGCAGAAACACCTGGGACTCAGGCACCTTTTGCCAAATAGAGAATGGCTGCTGTCAGTGACAGCAGAACTCTGCCTTCCAGAACATTCCTTTAACTTCACCACCAGAATAACCTCCCTCTGGATCAAAGCTGACCCTTGTTCTTAATTGCTCCTTTAGAATCCCCAGAAATTCCTTTCATTTTGTAGAAAAGAGATTCAAATCGATGCCTTTTCGTTTCTGTCCCCCAACCACCTGCTGGCTGATCACATAAAGCTGACTGTAGGCTACTGTTGTGGCCTGTGGCCGGGGCTCGGTGCACAGCCACAGCTGCCATTTTTATTTATAAAAAAGAAAGAATTTGCCAGCCATGAACGACAACACCAAAAATAAACCACTGAAACAAAGTGAGTCCCAGCAGAGAGGAGCCTGCCTGAGGCTCTTCTCATTGCCCACAACCTTCAAAATTCTTGTCCGCTGCCATCAAGTGGGCTCCCGACTCATGGCGACCCCATGTGCAATGTGACAGAACACTGCCCGGTCCTGTGCCATCCCCACAATCGGTTGTGGATCGAACTGTTATGCTCCATAGGGTTTTCACTGGCTGATTTTCAGAAGCAGACTGCCAGGCCTTTCTTCCTAGTCTGTCTGTCTGGAAGCTCTGCTGAAACCTGTTCAGTGTCATAGCAACACACAAGCCTCCAGTGACAGACGGGTGGTGGATACGCACGAGGAGCACTGTCTGGGAAGTAAACCCGGGTCTCTTGCGTGGAAAGCAAGGATTCTACCGCTGAACCTTACAACTGTAAGCAGTCCAAGTGTTTGCTTTACTGTTACAAACAAGAGATGTGTCAGCCCCACCATCTGCAGCACAATGGTCTGATTTTACATAATCAGGAAACAGAACCAAGGTCTGACAGGGAAAGCAGCAGGTTCTTGGCTGGCCAGGTTCACCTGCTCAGGTGAGCCTGCAATAAGTTCCATCCTTGGTCCAGAATCCCAAGGGGGCTGCACACCTTCTGTTTCCTCTCCAGGTACAGCATCCTTGGAAAGGTAGCCGCGAGGAAGGTCAGCTACCCAAGGCTCCGGTCCTCACTCCCTCCCCACCCCTCCTCTGCAGGGCAGGCTTGGTGACATTTGCACCTTTCTGGTTTCTCAAACCAGGAATTCTCTATAAAACAGGCCTGAGACAGCAAGATGTGGCAAGACGCAGTCTGTCCACTCCACGGCATGCCCCCAGACTCTGAGGAAGCACAATCTCTCTCCCTGCCCTTCCCTGACCCAGGAAGGAATCACTCCATCCCCACTTAGAACAGCCGTGGGTGCAGGGACCACCTACCTTCATGGGCAGCCACAGGGCTGGCGCCAGACTCTACTGCAGGGCTTTGGATGAAAGGGAGCAGAACCTCCACGCAGGCTATAGCCGAGAAGGTCTCCTCCTTCCCCAGCTTCCTCCAGGAGTGGCCTGTGGCAGTGGCAGAACAAACAGGTTCAACAGCCGCTGCCTGAAACTCCTCCCTTCCAGGATGCGGCCCGGCAGGAAGAGCAGCGCTGAGATGAGGGGGGTGCTTTCTGGCTCCTGCCCCCTCTGCAGGGCAGCAGGCGGCCTCTCTCTTGCCGGCCCCTCACTGCAACAGAGCAGCCGCCTTTCCTTGCCTCCCACGATGCAGCCCGTCTGAAGAGCCCCGTCCTGAGTGCCCCCAGGCCTCGAGGCCCCACTGGGCCGGCTCACTGCCAGAGCTCACTTCCTCCTTGATGGCAAAGGGCTCAGCCCACTGACCTTTGCAGTCTTCACGCACAAAGGCAGGGGCCAGGCCTTCCAACACCAGCGCCAACCACGCCCCAGAGTGCTCTGGAGGGCATGGCGGGTATGGCTGTAAGGGACGGCCTTCATCAAACACCTGCTATGGGCCACCCCAGAGCCTTGGTGGCATAGTGGTTAAGAGCTCGGCTGCTAACCAAAAGGTCAGCAGTTCGAATCCACCACCTGCTCCTTGGATACCCTATGGGACAGTTCTACTCTGTCCTGTGGGGTCGCTATGAGTAGGAATTGACTCGACGGCAACAGGTTTGGTTTTTGGTATGGGCCACCCTGGTAGCACAGTGGTTATGCACTTGGCTGCTAACTGAAAGGTCGGCTGTTTGAACCCACAGCAGCTCCGCAGGAAAAATATGTGGCAGCCAGCTTCCATAACGATTACAGCCTTGGAAACCCTATGGGCAGTTCTAGCCTGTCCTACAAGATCGCTACGCATTGGAACTGACTCAATGGCAACAGGTTTGGTTTTTTTATAGGCCGGGCAAGAAGCCCTGGTGGCACAGTGGTTAAGTACTCAGCTACTAACTGAAAGGTCGGTGGTTCAAACCCACCAGCCGATCCATGGGAGAAAGACCTGGCAATCTGCTTCTGTTAAGATTACAGCCTTAGAAACTCTATGGGGCAGTTTTACTCAGTCCTATAGGGTTGCTATGAATTGGAATTGACTTGCTGGCAATGGGTATGGGTTATGGGCTGGGCTCCCTGAAAATGTGAGCTGACTCAAGGGGTCCTTCTGCTCTGGACCTGCCAAGGCTTACTACTTCCACTCCAAATCTGGTGGGCATGGTCGGCAGCAGGTTTGAAGGATGGGGAACCAGGAAGGCAGGCCTGGGTCAAGGGAGTCAAATGGTCACTTTGGGGATTACTGGGGATGCTCCCCTCCTAACAGTAACCTCCTTCAGGACTGGGGCTCTCTGGGACGTACTGATTTCTCACCCCACTCCCCAGTACTCTTGCATACAGCAGGCACTAACAACTTTTTCCTGAATCACAGTAAATAGTATTCAGGATAACTTATTTTTCAGCTCTCTGTTTTTTGTACTTAGGTCAACTGCCTGAGAAGAGCGTATCAGTATTCCACGGCTGCTGTAACAAATTACCACACGCTTGGTGCCTTAACCACCATGCATTTATAGTTCTGTAGGACGAAAGGCTGACATGGTCTCACTGGGCTAAAATCAAGAGTTAGCAGATGAAAACATTCCCCTTGGGAACGGGAACAAGAACAAGACGAGGATGCCCTTTACCACCACTCCTATTTAACACTGTGCTGGAAGTCCTAGCTAGAGCAATAAGGCAAGAAAAAGAAACAAAGGGCATCCAAACTGGTAATCAAGAAGTAAAACTGTCCCTATTTGCAGATGACGTGATACTACACACAGAAAACCCAAAAGACTCCACCAGAAAACTACTGGAACTAATAGAAAGATTCAGCAGAGTAACAGGATACAAGATAAACATACAAAAATCAGTTGGATTCCTATACACCAAAGGAAATCCGGAAAACAACAACATTTATAATAGCCCCTAAAAAAATAAACACTTAGGAATAAATCTAACCAGGGATGTAAAAGATCTATACAAAGAAAACTAGAAAACACTACTGCAAGAAACCAAAAGAGATCGACATAAATGGAAAAACATACCATGCTCATGGATAGGTAGACTCAACACTGTGAAAATGACGGTTCTACCCAAAGAATGGAAAAACATACCATGCTCATGGATAGGTAGACTCAACACTGTGAAAATGACGGTTCTACTCAAAGCAATCAAAACATACAATGCAATCCCGATCCAAATACCAACAACGTTCTTTAAAGAGATAGAAAAATGAATTATTGACTTTACATGGAAAGAGAAGAGGCCCTAGATAAGTAAGGCACTATTGAAGAAGAATAAAGTAGGAGGACTCACACTACTTGACCTCAGAACCTACTATACAGTTACGGTAGTCAAAACAGCCAGTCCTGGTACAACAACAGATACATTGACCAATGGAACAAAATTGAGAACCCAGGCGTAACTCCATCCACCTATGGTCACTTGATCTTCGACAAGGGCCCAAAGTTCATCAAATGGGGAAAACACAGTCTTTTTAACAAATGGTGCTGGCAAAACTGGATGTCCATCTGCAAAAAAATGAAACAAGACCCATACTTCACATCATACACAAAAACTAACTCAAAATGGATCAAAGATCTAAATATAAAACCCAAAACTATAAAGATCATAGAAGAAAAAATAGTGTCAATGCTAGAGGTCCTAATACACGGCATTAACAGGATACAAACCATAATTAACAACACACAAACTCCAGAAACTAAGCTAGATAACTGGGATCTTCTAAAAATTAAACACTTATGCTCATCAAAAGACTTCACCAAAAGAGTAAAAAGAGAATCTACAGACTAAGAAAAAAATTGTGGCTGTGAAATGTCCAACAAAGGTCTAATCTCTAAAATCTACAGGAAAATCCAACACCTCTACAATAAAAAGACAAATAATCCAATTACAAATTGGGCAAAGGAAATGAACATACATTTCATCAAAGAAGACATTCAAGCGGCTAACAGACACATGAGGAAATGCTCGTGATCACAAGCCCTTAGAGAAATGCAAATCGAAACCACAATGAGATACCATCTCACCCCAGCATTACTGGCATGAATCAAAAAAACAGAAAATAACAAATGTTAGAGAGGCTGCAGGGAGATTGGAACTCTTACGCACTACTGGTGGGAATGCAAAATGGCACAATCGTTTTGGAAAACGATATGGTGCTTCCTTAGAAAGCTAAAAATAGAAATACCATATGATCTAGCAATCCCACTCCTAGGAATACATCCTAGAGAAGTAAGAGCCGTCACACAAATAGACATAAGCACACCCATGTTCACTGCAGCATTGCTCACAATAGCAAAAGACGGAAACAACCGAGATGCCCATCCACAGATGAATGGATAAACAAACTATGGTACATACGCACAACAGAGTACTACGCAACGATAAAGAACGATGTATCTGCGAAGCATCTCACAACGTGGATGAATCTGAAGGGCATTATGCTGAGTGGAATAAGTCAATCACAAAAGGACACATATTGATGAGACCACTAGTATAAAAACTCATAAAAAGGTTTACACACAAAAAGAAACAATCTTTGATGGTTATGAGGGAGGGGAGGGGTGAGGGTGGAAAAACACTAAATAGACAATAGATAAGTGGTAACTTGGTGAAGGATAAGACAATGCACAGTACTGGGGAAGACAGCACAACTTGTTCAGGGCAAGGTCGTGGAAGCTCCATGGATATCTCCAGAAACTCCCTGAGGGGTCAAATTACTGGGCGGAGGGCTATGGGGACCATGGTCTCAGAGAACATCTAGCTCAACTGGCATAACGTAGTTTATAAAGAAAACGTTCTACATTCTACTTTGGTGAGTAGCGTCTGGGGTCTTAAAAGCCAGTGAGCAGCCATCTAAGATACTCCACTGGTCTCACGCCTTAGGGAGCAAGGGAGAATGAAGAAAACAAAAGACACAAGGGAAAGATTAGTCCAAAGGACTAACGGACTCCAACTACCACAGCCTCCACCAGACTGAGTCCAATACAACTAGATGGTGCCCGGCTACACCACTGACTGCTCTGACAGGGATCACAATAGAGGGCCCTGGACAGAGCTGGAGAAAAATGTAGAACAAACTACTAACTCACAAGAAAAGGCAAGACTTACTGGCCTGACAGAGACTGAGAAACCCCGAGAGTATGGCCCCCTAACACCCTTTTAGCTCAGTACAAAAGTCACTCCTGAGGTTCACCCTTCAGCCAAAGATTAGACGGCTCCATAAAACAAAACGAGACTAAAGGGGCACACCAGCCCAGGGGCAAGGACTAGAAGCCAGGAGGGGACAGGAAAGCTGGTAATACGGAACCCAAGGTTGAGAAGGGAGAGTGTTGACATGTCATGGGGTTGTTAACCAACGTCGTAAAATAATACATGTTGTTGTTGTTGCTAGGTGCCGTTCAGTCGGTTCCGACTCATAGCCACCCTACGCACCACAGAACAAAACATTGATCAGTCCTGTGCCATGCTCACAACAGAAGTTATGCTTGAGCCCATTGTTGCAGCCACTGCGTCAGTTCATTTCATTGAGGGTCTTCCTCTTTTTTTGCTGACCCTCTGCTTTACCAAGCATGATATTCTTCTCCAGGGACTGATCCCTCCTGACAACACGTCCAAAGTATGTAAGACATAGTCTTGCCATCCTTGCCTCTAAGGAATATTCTGGCTGTACTTCTTCCAAGACAGATATGTTCCTTCTTTTGGCAGTCCATGGTATATTCAATACTCTTCGCCAACACCACAATTCAAAGGCGTCAATTCTTCTTCAGTCTTCCTTATTCATTGTCCAGCTTTCGCATGCATACGATGCGAAAATACCACGGCTTCGGTCAGGTGCACCTTAGTCTTCAAGGTAACATCTTTGCTTTTCAACACTTTAAAGAGGTCTTTTGCAGGAGATTTGCCCAATACAATGCGTATTTTGATTTCTTGACTGCTGCTTCCCTGGGTGTTGATTGTGGATCCAAGTAAAATGAAATCCTTGACAACTTCAATCTTTTCTCCATTTATCATGATGCCGCTTATTGGTCCAGTTGTGAGGATTTTTGTTTTATGTTGAGATGTAATCCATACTGAAGGCTGTGGTCTTTGATCTTCATCAGTAAGTGCTTCAAGTCCTCTTCACTTTCAGCAAGCAAGGTTGTGTCATCTGTATAACGCAGACTGTTAATGTCTTCCTCCAATCCTGATACCCCACTCTTCTTTATACAGTCCAGCTTCT